CTCCCCTCCAGCAGCCCTTTTATAGGCTCTTTTCACAGCCACCCTTTCTGTTCCTATCGTCTCCCCTGCAGAATGGATCAGCTCGTAGGGCAGTGGCTGCTCAGCCAGGACGGAAGCGGAAATCCAATTGCTTGGGGACTGATGAGGTGCGTCTGGGGAAGAGGAAAGATGGGGAAGGGAGGGCAGGTGGGCTGAGGGGAGCTTAGTGCTTGCTTTAAAAACAAACAGTAAGCTGGGGTAAGGTGGGTTGCAGATGAGTCACTTGGTGACCTCAGGGTCTTAGTTTTCTTCATCTGGAAAGTAGAATTACGGTACCTGTGTCTCCTATAACCTGGTGTCTTCCACTGGCCCTTGGCAGGACTCTCAGGACAGTTCAGATGGAATTCCGTCGGCACCACGCATGACCGGCAGCTTGGTGTCTGACCGGAGCCACGACGACATCGTGACCCGGATGAAGAACATCGAGTGCATTGAGCTGGGCCGGCACCGTCTTAAGCCGTGGTACTTCTCGCCATACCCACAGGAGCTCACCACATTGCCTGTCCTCTACCTCTGCGAGTTCTGTCTTAAGTATGGCCGAAGTCTCAAGTGTCTGCAGCGTCACTTGGTATGAGGAGTCCCGGGAAGCTGCTCTCCTAAGCACCCCTTCCTGCTCTCACCTCCACCCCTGACCCCTGATCCTCCTCTCTTCCCCAGACCAAGTGTGACCTGCGCCACCCCCCTGGCAATGAGATTTACCGCAAGGGCACCATCTCCTTCTTTGAGATTGATGGCCGCAAGAACAAGGTCAGCAGCTAAGGGGCAGTGGAGTGTCTTGGGACTAGAGGCCTGGCCACTGGCAGATAAGCAGCTTTTTCATACTCAAGGAAACACCTGTTTGGCCAACATGTCAGTTCAGCCAGTTTTTCTTAGCTGCTGGGAGGTATGAGGACCCAGAACTAGACAAGTATCCATTCTTTTAAGAGCCTACAGTACATAGAAGACAGTCTTGGTCTCTACATCCCAGAGTAACAAATGTCGTGATTCAAGGGATGTTATCAAGACCTTACAGAGATGCCCTTTGACGTGAGTGGATTCTGAGCATAGCAGTGTTTAAGGGCCAGCAAAACTAGAGAAATGGCATGCAAAGGCCGAAAAGACAGAGAAGCAGATGGTGCGAAGTTGTTAAGAGGGGCAGCAGTTGGGTGGTAGGAACAAGGTTGGTAGAAATGGGGAACACTGTAGGTTTGGGGCTGCAGACCTGCCATCTGGGCTGTGGATAGGGAGGGGGGGGGTGATCAGATGATTGAGTCTCCTTGTGGGCTTAGAGGGTAGCAGGGGAGAGTTTGGGTGTTGCTGAGGGGCAGCCTGAGAGGAAGCTGCTGCGCTGACCACTGTTGTTTCCATAGGAGGGTGGACTCCGCCCATTAGGTAATGACAAAGCTGGGTTAGTGTGCTGGAGAAATTGTGCACAGACACAGAGGAGCAATGCTCATCGTTTTGCTGGGGGTACCACCCCTCAGGCTGTTCTTGATGTCAGGTTTCTTTCCATCTTAAATGGCAGCTCCATTGCCAAGAAGTGTGACTGTGGGGCCGGTTGTGATTTGTTGACAGCCAGGCTTCCAAGCTATCACCCAAGCAGAGACCACAGTGTCTCAGTTCCGGAGCCTGGGCCAGTCTGACTTGCCCATCTCAGTTTGTTGATTGGTAAACCGAGCAGTTGGCTGTGGAAGCTCTCAGCCAGGCCTGCAGAGAGCCATGAGGCAGCGAGGCAGCCTGTCCACCGCAGTGGTGTGCCATCACAGGGCTGGCCCGATGGCCACACCCAGGGCACTTGCCCAAAGCCGTGACACGTTTTTTCCTTTGCAGAGTTACTCCCAGAACCTATGTCTTCTGGCCAAGTGCTTCCTCGACCACAAGACTTTATACTATGATACAGACCCCTTCCTATTCTACGTCATGACAGAGTATGACAGCAAGGGTTTCCACATCGTAGGCTACTTCTCCAAGGTCAGTGCTCACGAGACTGGCCTGTCCTGTCCTGTGAGCCAGCTCTGTCCCCGCACACTCACTGTTCCCCTTCTCCAGGAAAAAGAGTCCACCGAAGACTACAACGTGGCCTGCATCCTGACCCTGCCTCCCTACCAGCGCCGGGGCTACGGCAAGCTGCTGATTGAGTTCAGTAAGTACCCGTGCCTACCATTAGGGCGCCACAGATATGCCAAGTGCCTGCAATTGTCAGGCTGACCGGAAAGCGATGGGAATCTGACAAGGTTCTTTCAGTGACTGCCCTGCTCGTCTGGAGTAGGCGTCCTCTCTCCCCACTGCTCCTTCTCAAGGTTCTAGGCACCACCCAACTTTTCCTCAATCTCATTAATCCTCTGCCCAGGCCATAGGCAAAACCATGCAAGAGACTAATGCTATGCCAAACACTTGGCACCTTGTCCACCACACACTCGGGGCAGGGCCACTTTTCTTCCTGGTCTTACAGATGTTCAGTGTTCCAGCAGACGGAAGTACTGGGGTTCATGGACTGCCCTGAGCAACTTGTACTCACCCCTCAGGAAAACCTGAAGCTGAGGGGGGTGCCGCACTTCATCACTTCAGTGCCCTGCTCCTCCATGTCTCAGGCTCCATTCACCTCACCACTCATAGACACTGAACCAACCAACCATTCGGAAACCATTTTCCTCAAATTTGTGATGCTGGGAGGCATGGAGAGCCTCAGCTGATTGGCTGTGACTTGACTTGATATAAGACCCCAGCCCATTTGTGAATTGCTATTGATCAAATAGGGGTCCTACCTTCAGGAAGCTGAACCTGGTGAGCAGGTGGACACTTCAAGAAATTTGAGCTAAGCACTGAGCCTAGACCCTAGTGGAGACAGGACGCAGTAGTGGTCAGCTCTAACCAGTAGGGCCCCTGCTGCACTGTTCCAGGCAGTGGAGAGTGGACAGGGGGTGTCCAGTACAGAGGGGCCTGGCATTCCCTGTGGCTGAGGTGTGGTGAGTGTAGCACCTGGCCCATCTGCTAGGACTGTACATGCACTGACAACCCCACAAAGTTGAGTATATTTGTGAGGGTGTCTCTTTGGGGCATCTTCAGGCAGTCAGTCAAGAATACTGGGGAGGCCATGGATTGGGCAGGAGGGTACTGCTTACTGATAAAGGGGCTCAGATCCCCTGTGAGACTGCTGTGACTCTTGAAGGTAGAGGGGGCATCCCAGTACCCTGATGGGAAAATGAACACCTTGTCCAAGGCTGGGCCTCCTCTGATCTGCAGACCCATCACCAATGCCCGGCAGCACCCCTTACACAGTTCTGGCACCTAACTGTTAGCATAAACAGTTGGCTGAATGCTAGGGAAGAGCTTCCTCCAGGGAGGCAAGCACTTTGATGCCCCCAAGACACGGAGCAGCTAATGCCAAGGTCACAAGTGGGACTGATTGGGCCAATAGGATTCAGGCATCCTCAAGCCTGGACCCGTGATGGGGACATGCCCCTTTCCTCACATGCCCACATACAGTGGGGTATCTTAAGGACAGAGGAAGCAGGGTGGAGATGACATCTTCTTTCTTGATAAGCCATTCTTTCTGTTTCACACACCACCACCACCCCCAGGCCTTCAGTGGCCCCTCAGCACCCCTTGTGTTACCTTCTCATCTCACCACACAGCACACAAGTGTTGGGGCACTGCTCAGTAAGAAAAGCAGTGGACAGCACCTGGCATGTTCATTCTCTGATTATGAGAGTCCTGTGAAATTGGACCCATTGTAAGTCCTTTATGAGGAAATAGGCACAGAGCAGACAAGCCACATACACAGTCACAGAACTGGATGGCAGGGCTGGATCCCAACCAGGAAGTTGGCCTTCACCATCCACAGTATAGCTGTATAAGCCCCCCACCTCTTGCTCCATTGCTCTAGGCTATGAGCTCTCCAAGGTGGAAGGAAAAACTGGTACCCCTGAGAAGCCCCTGTCAGACCTTGGCCTCCTGTCCTATCGGAGCTACTGGTCCCAGACCATCCTGGAGATCCTGATGGGACTGAAGTCAGAGAGTGGGGAGAGACCACAGATCACCATCAAGTGAGCCTGGCCCCACCACACGTCCCTGAGGGGTAAAGGGCAGGGCCTTCCTGTCCCCTGAGGTCCTGGGCAGAGGGGAAGGCCCTTGGGATCTAATCTCTGTCCCCCCCCCCACAGCGAGATCAGCGAGATCACCAGCATCAAGAAGGAAGACGTCATCTCTACATTGCAGTATCTCAACCTCATCAATTACTACAAGGTAGGGGAGCAGGGGCTCCCAGAGGAAGAGGGGGTGGTGCCACAAGGCCTGGGCTGACCTCCTGCTGGCCCCTCCCATCCAGGGCCAGTATATCCTCACGCTGTCAGAAGACATTGTGGATGGGCATGAAAGGGCCATGCTTAAACGGCTGCTTCGGATCGACTCCAAGTGTCTGCACTTCACTCCCAAGGACTGGAGCAAGAGGGGGAAGTGGTGACAAACTCTGTTGTGCACAGCAGTGTTGGGGGCACAGGCAGGACTGGGGCTGACAGCCCAGCCTGCCCCCATCAAGGCTGAGGGCCACTCAAAGACAGGACAGGCCTGGCCAGGGCTGCTGGTGCCCCTTGCCAGAGCTAGCTCAGGCCCACTCCAAGGTCAGCTGACAGCTGGCCCAGGCCTGTTCCAAACCAGGGACCCAAGGAACTTGGCAGCTGTGTACAGTGACAGGCAGGGTGGGGGCATTCTGCACAGCAGGCTGGTTGGGTGTAAAGATTTCTTTTGTAAAATAAGAGTTGGTGCTGGGTGGGTACTGGCTGCAGAAATCTGGCCTCTCTTGCCCCCATCCCCCCGGCAATAAATTGTTTCTATCCATCTGAGTGAGAGTCCTGAAAGATTTTTGTTCTCAGGGAGGGTCATGCTGGCTCAGGAGCTCTAAGGTGCCCACAGACTCACAGGCAGTGGCAAGAGCTCATTTATTGGGGTGAAGGAGTCCGTGGCTTTCCGTTTAGCTCTGGTTGTCAGTCCTCCGGCACCTGGGCGTGAATCTGCAACGAGAGTCACCTGCTGTTGGGCTTCTGTGTCACAGCTGGCCCCAGAGGCCCAGATGTACAAAATGACAGCCCTTTCTAGACACGTGTAGGGCCCCATTGTGCTCCCAGCCGTAAAGCCCCCAATCTACTGGAGGCAAAATTCTGGACAACCCCGAATCTAACTTTAAAGCAGGGGAATGCATGATGCCCAGCTCCCTACTCACAGCTGCAGCGAGGTTGGGCCAGGTCAAGGCTCCCCGCACTTTGGCGTCTGGGCCGGGGATGGTCTCCAGGCCCCACAGGTGGAAGTGGTCAAAACTGGCAGTGGCCCCGATACAGCGGTCCTGAGGAACAGGGGCCGGCTCAGCACGGAGGCGCGATCCCGCCCACACCCCCTTCCAGCCCTGACACCCTTTCCTCACGAAGTCCCGCTCCAGCGGCTCCGAGCGCGCCTGCGCCTCTTCCTCGTGCTCCAAACCTCTCCGTTTGTGTCTCCTTTCTAATTCTGCCAACACCTCTGCCTTCTCGTTCATCACCATCACGTAGCCAGCGACGCCGGGCGGCACCGCCACCTCCTCGCCCCGCAGAATGCGGCCCCGAAAGGACACCTCGAGTCCTGGAGTAGAGAGACTCATGCGATGATCCAGGCGCAGGGAGCCAAATGGGGCCCTCCCGCCACCTCCGAGTGGACTACGACCCCCAAGAGGCCTCGCGACATAGCTCGCCGAGGAGCGCATGGTGCGGGCGCGGGGGCTTCCGGGAGCCGTAGTCCGGCCCGAGCACTCACCGCTGGGCCGCTGACGGATGGCGGGGGTGAAGAAGCGTTCAACGGGAGCGGGCCCGTTGACCAGGACCTCGCAGGGAAGGAGGTGCACAATGGCCGGAGCAGCATCGCACAGCGTGGCTGAGCGCAAGTGAATGCGCTGCTTCTCAGTGGTTTCTTCGTCGCTGCTCTCCATCCTCCCGCCGCAGCGAATTTGTCTCCAGCTGAGGCCAAAGCTGGCGCGTAAACCGCGCAGAGTTTCTCGGGAGGCCGGCAGCTGTCGGCGCAGAGCCCCATGGGAAGCGTAGTCCGTGAGGCTCCTCTGCAAACTCAGAACTCTCTGAAGTCCCAACTTTTTTCCCTTTAATGCCTTTTGGGACTCCTGCTGTGACGCTGTAGGATCAGCACTGGATTATGAACCACAGGGTCGGCGGTTCACACCCACCAGCTGCTCCTCGGAAACGCTATACAGGGTCGCTATGTGTCAGAACCGACTCGAAGACACATAGAAATAACAATGTCTTTTTCAATCCAAAATAAATTTGATTTTGTTTATATCCCGGTGTCACCTTCCTACAGCTGCATGCCTTGTCACCAGTCACTTCTGTAGCACTTCCTGTCTCACCTTAACCAGCCAACTAGGTCAAAACATTCATGGAGGCTCAGGAATCTGCCCAACGTCCTGGAGTTCAGAGCAGCCTGCCCCTCTGCGTCTAGTTCCCTGGGGCCAGGTTACAAGCTAGAAGGACTTTGTCCTTCACCAACTGTCCGAGCAGCTTTTTTCTGTCCACCAGACAGCCAAAGCAGGTTCCTCATGAGTTAGGACTCAGGTGCCCTTTGAATTAGCCACCTGAGCCATATCGTCTCAGCTGCATAGGGTTTCCAAGGCTATAAATCTTTACGGGAGTAGAAAGCCTCATTTTTCTCCCACGGAACAGCTGGTAGTTTTGAACTGCTGACCTTGCGGTTCGCAGACCGATTCGTAACCACTACGCTACCAGAGCTCCTTGCTTGGTCATTAGGGCCTACTGAATCTGCACGACTGTATCATGTTCGCTTCCCCTCCTAAAGCTCATTGGCCAGTTGTGAAGACCCTACTTGCATGACTATTTTGGAAAACACAGGCCGTCTTAATAACTTGGGTTATTGCCTTGTCTCTCCTTATCTTATTGTTCTTCCAAGCTTCTAATCTCACCCTCCTAGTCTCCACTTCATTGTCATCTATTCCAGTGAGCCATTTCCTCAATTTTATCTTTAAAATATTCATTGAGATTTGCACTTCTATATCATATGACTGGTTTCCATGAAACCCTTTGTATAAGCTGCACACTGTTGTGCAATAAATTCACAGCCACAAGCTACCAGTGTAAAACTTCAAATATTTCTTGCAAAGCTTCCCTGAACTAAGAGCCAGATAAAAATTAGTCACAAGAAGGCTATTTACAAGAAATAACAGCTTTAGGCAGAATCCAAACTTAGGCAAGTCTTCCTTATCGGTATGAATTAGCCTTAGTCAGCAATCTTGGTTAGCATGTTATTATTGTTGTAGTAGTTGTTAGGTGTCCACCAGTTGGGTCCAACTCCTAGCAACCCTGTGGATAGCAGAACAAAACACTGCCCAGTCTTGCACCATCCTCACAATTGTTCTGCTTGAACCCATTGCTGCTGCCACTGTGGCAATCCATCTCATTTGGGGTCTTCCTCTCCTTCGCTGACCCTCCACTTTACCAAGCCTGATGTCCTTCTCCAGGGACTGGCCCCTCCTGATAACATGTCTGAAGTGTAAAGGCAAGGTTTGGCCATCCTGACTTTTAATGAGTATTCTCCTGTATTTCTTCCAACACAGAATTTGTTTGTTCTTGTTACATAGTATTTTCAATCTGGTAGCGTAGTGGTTACGAATCGGGCTGCGAACCTTAAGGTCAGCGGTTC